AGACTGGGGGTAAGCTTATTTTAGTTATTTTAATGATTTTTACGCATGAGTGATTTTAATTTCGATTTTAGTCCGTATTCATAAAGAGCGGCTTAAGACATTTCGTTTGATACCAAACACGCCTTAGTTCGGTCCGGACGTGGTACAGAAAACACGTTTTTACGCTTCAGTGATTTCAGTTCCGGTCCAATGGCTTTTTGAATAGCGTCAGGTAACAGGTGTGGTAAAATGCTTTCCAACGATACCAAACACGTATATATTCGGTCAAGTAATAACGAAGAAATCGATTTTGAAATTTCTGTGACGTCACTTCCGGTGACTTTAAACTCGAATTACTCGAAAACGGTAAAAGATAAACCCATAAAACTATATATTTTCTTAATCAGCGCGACGAGACGAATCGATTGGTAAACAGTTCTAACGTTTTTATTGACTTTCGCAATTTAGGGTTTAAAATCGCTCTTGCGTCATAACTCAAAAACGGCTGAAAATCGAATCGAGAACCCCGGGTCAAAACGAAAGCTTTCGGTTTATTCTATCTTATAACGACTTTATCTCGAAAATTTTGAGCGTAAACGGTTGCCCAAACGATAAAAAACCGGTTTATAGCTTAAATGTATTATAAATTTCATTTAAAATCAGTTTACAACTTTCTTATACATAAGTGTATTCATTTAAAATTTATTTTTGTATAAAAAATAAGAATCTGAAGTGTTCATAAAAATCACAACATTTACCAGTTGCTAAGGGCAACCGTGTTTAAAATATGCAATCAGTTTACCGTAGCATGCACTTAAAAGGAACGGTACAATATATGAAGTGTTAAAATATGTTAATGCATGCGTAGCAATTTCTCGTTAATGAGTTTTTACTTAATGGTCGCTGCATTTAAAAGGATAAGATTAATGAAAAGCTATATTTAGTAACGAAGGATAAAGGGTTTTTGTTCAACATAGTTCCGCTAGGTATTGTAAATCTAGACTAAGTGGCGACTGTACTTGACGGTCGCTGCGTTTGAAAGGATAATAGATTCTTTTGTGATTAATGAAAAGCTATATTTAGTAACGAAGGATAAAGGGTTTTTGTTCAAAATAGTTCCGCTAGGTATTGTAAATCTAGACTAAGTGGCGACTGTACTTGACGGTCGCTGCGTTTGAAAGGATAATAGATTCTTTTGTGATTAATGAAAAGTTATATTTAGTAACGAAGGATAAAGGGTTTTTGTTCAAAATAGTTCCGCTAGGTATTGTGAATCTAGACTGAGCGGCGACTGTACTTAATGCCTTTTTCTTTCATTGACACCCGCGTGGGGCTGATGAAATAGCTCCTGGTGGTTGTGAAATACCGCGACTAAAAATAGATCATGCGCAGTCTACAAGAACGTTACGCTATGACAGTCATTTCCTTACTAAATGTAGGTAAGTAAACGAGTTATATTTTATAAATATTATTTTGAACATATTAAAAAAAAACTATTTGTTTTTTTATTTATAAATTAAGCACGTATCTATTTAGAAACATTTCTTTTATCTGTCATGATGTTAATTATCTCTCCGTCTAGGGCCGAGGACCTGACCCTCAATGTCCGCGATTCAAGCCCTAAGATCGTGTATACGAGTCAGCTCCGTATACTTCCGGGAGATATTTTTTATTTCTATTTATAACGTGATAATGTCATTCTTAAAAAAAGAATCCAAAATGGACGCCGCGCGTCGGTTATTCAACACGGCCGTATGTGTAGTGAGGTCATTTCTTTTATGCAAATGAGTTACTATCAATAGAAAACAAAATGGCCGCCGCGCATGCGCAGTCTTGGGGGTAAACCGGCGCATATACTACTTATATATATAATGGAAGGTTTGTAATACAAAGAATTATTACGTTGATAGTATTAAGTATTAGACATAACAACCAACAACGAAATAATTATACATGGAAGTTGTTGTTGGCAAGTGAGAGATATATTTTTTGATACTACATATATTTATATAGTTCTAGGACAAAATACTATTATTATTCGTGATAAATGTTCATTCTAAATCACAAAGAACTTTATCCGCATTTTTTTCAAGCAACATTTTATGATAATATTCAAACGATAAATTTCTATTGTTTTTATAAATATTTGAAAAACATATAGAAAATGTGCCCATAATTCTACGTAGACCTATATCTTTTAATAAAGTCAAAATAACTTTACATTTTGTCATAATTGTATTCAAAAATAATCAGTTGACCTCATGGAAAATTCTATAATTCAACTGAGAGCCATATTTATCCACCGCAGTCGTCCGATAAGCGCAGTAGGTAGAGCTTTGGACTGTGAATCGGGCGACACAGGTTCGATTCCCAGACGGTGCATGTCACTTTCGTTGAAAACCATGAAAACCTTTCTACTGTTATTCGCACTGTACCTCTTCTATGGTAGAAATTATCAATTCCTTGCGAAAGTGAAGGCAACTATTACTGGTAACCTGTTTGACAGCCTGCATAGGAACGATGCGGTTGCTGAACTATGCTCTGGTAAATTCAACGTGGCTTACTGCCGTGATCCGGAGTGAAAACTACCACCACCACTTCTGCGAAAAGTGCATATGATACATGATATTTGTTTTTTTTATATCTTGTTTCTATGATTCAACGTTAAAAAGAAGAAAATAGATACAAAACAATTTTTAACTTTTAATTGGCGATTCTGAGACTGATTATTTTCGGACCGTGTGTAAATTATATGGTTTTAAAAAGGTCACAAATCACGCATATAAACCTGAATATTACAACAACTAAATATTTAAGTCATATGTACGGTGGCACAGAGGTGACATATTTGTGTTTTTATTTATCTCGTGCGCACAAGATACTATGTCGTGCGTGCGAGTTATTTAGTCGTACACACGAGACCATTAAGTGGTGCGTACGAGATATTATGTCGTTCGCACGAGTTACTTAGTCGCACGAGATAATTAACCAATCAGATTGCACTTTATAAATGATCTTTTTAAACTTAGAAAATTCCTGGTTAAAGTTTTACATGTAACATTAATCTTAATAAACCACTGAAGATATTCACTTGAAACTTCATACATGTCTTTAGGATCATATAAGGAGGTCACTATCCAAGGTCCATATATTAGACATTAATTTTGACTAAGTTATGGTCCCTTTTTATGCCTCCCACTTGAAAAGTGGGGACTATCCTGTGATTGTGTTGATCAGTACGTACGTACTAACCGCCTGTTAACCTTGTCCTTACGATAACAACTTGAGAAAGAATAAGTCCTGATTTATTCTATTTGGTAGGGACATTGCCCATTGCCAGTAAATGACCCATGTTGATGTTTGAGGTCATAAGGTCAAGGTAATCATGACACTTCATCTTATAAATAAAAAGAAGGAATAAGTCATGGTCTACATTGCACCTGATCAGTAGATGAAAATTTATGATTTTGAGGTCATTGGGTCAAAATATCAGGGTGACAAATGACGCTCAATGTAAAATCATTGTCCAATCAATAACTTGAGAAGGAATAAGCTATGCGTTTTGTTACATTGCCTTTAGTGCCTTAGTGGCCAGTAGAAAACCCTATTGATTTTGATGCCATTAGGTCAAAGGTCATGGCCACAGAGACACATAATGTAAAAATATTTGTCGAATCAATAACTCAAGAATAAATGAGCCGTTGTTTATGTTACTTGGTAGGAATATTCCTTAAGGCAAATAGATGACCACTACTAATTTTGAGGCCATAAGCTCAAAGGTCAATGTCACGGTGAAACTTATTAAGGATAATTGACAGGCAGGTAAAGTAGGGGCATAATTGTCCTATGGCATATTTATAGCTAACTAAGAAAATTCATAGTGTAATCTGGTTGATTAATTATGTTGTGCGCACGACTTAATTATCTCGTCCGCATCACAAAGTAACTCGTGCGCATGACTTACTTATCTAGTGCGGCTTAGTCGTACGCACGACTTGGTAACTAGTGCGCACGATACAACATCTGCGCACCACTAACTTACATGCAAACGACTAAGTATTTAGTTTGCACGACATAGTAGCTCGTGCGCGCCACTTGATTATCTCTTGCGCACGACTTAGAAACTCGTGCGCACCACTTAACTATATCGTGGGACGACGTAGCAACTCGTGCACACAACATAGTATCTTGTGCGCACGAGACAAATAAAAACACACACACATGTCACCTCTGTGTCACCGTACAGATGTCTTTAAGTCGGATGTTATCAAAAAAAGTTGCCTCGATGGTGATGTCATTGGTTTGAGGCTCCCCTCTACAATACAATATTACTGTTTGCTTATAAGTAACATGGAACTAAATATTTATATATCTCACTTAAAATAAAGTTTCTTGTATCTTGTATCTCTCTGTCACCGTACAAATGTCTTTAAGTCAGATGTTATCAATAAAAGTTACCTCGATGGTAATATCATTGGTTTGACGCTCCCCCTACAATACAATATTACTGTTTACTGTAAAAGTTTAAGTAAATAGTTATAAGTAATTAATCAACTATAGATGAGTGTAGAAATAATCACATATATGATTACAAGTGTAAACTGCATATGCAGACCTGTCTTCTTATTAAAAAGAAAGGTTATACAATTTTACAAGAACTTAGACTTTTATCAATGACTTTATTGGTTGAAATTGCATTTTTTCATTACGTTCTAGCCGTTTTTTTCCTTATTTTTCCCACGGTTACCTTTAGAAATATTTTCCTTCAAATTGATCATAATTGACAAGTTTTCTTTTTAAATGAAATGCATCAAAAACGAAGATCTAGAGGTAATAAATTGTTATTACCAAAACTTTTATAATAATTTGTTTTCTATAAATCAATCCAGCTGGTCAACAAGAATATTTTAGTGAATAGGCCTAAATAAAGTTAAAATGCATACTTCCATTATTTGCAAGCCAAGTTGTTATATTTCAAAAATATTTTTTATATTCAATTGATAGTAGTTTTCTTTCCTTAATCGCGGTTGGTCCGCATAATTTTAATACCATCCGCCGATTCAAGTTTGTGACGTCAGAACAAAATGGCGAAAGTAATTTCGCTTCCTGTTTGAAAATGTAAGATAAATTTTACTATTATCTTTGCGTTTAAGCTATAGTAAACAGTTTTAACTTGAAATCGGATTAAATATGTTTGAAAGTTATAAATATTTTTTTCTTAAGTTAACTTAATCAACAAAGTTAAAAAATTATATGCATAAACTAGTTTTGGATCCCTGAGGGGAAATAAGCAGATAAGACTCAGAAAATAAATTTGTGATAATTTTAATCATAAGACTTCAAATAGTTAAGCTTGTTTTAATAGAACCAAATGCCCAGTGATTAAATCCTATGCAGGTTTAGAAAAGATGAGTACATATGTATTGCAAATATCAATCTAGAGTGAAAAAATAGTGAAGGAAGTTTGGAACATGTTCAGAAAATAAATTTCAAATTGATTATTTTGGATGGTATGAATGCCCTTCTTTTTTTATAAAACTTTCTCTAGACTGAAGTTAAATATTATACAATTTAAAATCCCTTTAAGAATAAAAAAATAATTTGGCAAGGGGTAAGAGCATAAACTCACCCCTATACCCACATGGTAGGTAAGCTCAGCCAGTTATAATTAAGGTAAAGGAAACTCCCAGCAGGTACCAGTTCCTTACCCTGATACCTAGCCTGGGTTCCAGTCTGTCGATTTTTTATGTGCTTCTGTTTGGCAAATTGACAGCCTGGGGAAATACGATTTTCGATCGAAGCGCCACCTTGTATACACCCCGAAAATTACGGGTGTTATTTAAAGAACGATAACTCATGCAACGACAAACTAGTTTCTTAAAATAGAAACGGAATTTCCACGAAGTGACCGGAAGCTCAGCGAACAGTGACGGAGCCTCACTTTCAAACACATTTTGCGATTAAAATTAACACTTGTTGATAAAGTTTATTGCATGATGAGTGAATTTGATCAACAGGTTTGATTAGTAAAGTTGGATAAAGTTTGTGAGCATCAGAGAATTATGCTGGACGCACTTTATAATAGTAAATGGTGTCAAATTTTCAACATTCATCATCTTCACCTCGATTTCGATTTAGTCATGTAATTTGTTGGTCATGTGCTAATCGGTCTATTAATAGGATTATCATTAGTCGATAATTACATGGGAAACCCCGCAGGTTTCCCCAGGCGTTGATACTATCAAAACCAGAGATGTTCTGTTATCTATGACGATCGAGTATGATGCACGTATGTTATGAATAAGCAAAAAATATCAACGCCTGAATCCCAGGCTACCTGATACCTTGTGAATCAGGAAATTTATGTCTGTAGCATCATCTATAAACATGGCAGATAAACCCAAATGTTATTGTTTTTGATAATTGATTTGGACTTAAATCAATCTATAGATACTGCAACCTACCCTTGCGACTATTTTGTGCAGGTGCACAAGAAATAAAAAAAGAAAATAATCATGATGAGAATTATAGATCTACTGAATATGTTTGTTAAAATAAAGATACAACAGTAACTTCTGGTAAAATAAGATTGTGAAAATATGTCCTTTCCATGATTTACATAACTTTTGATTACCTTGATACTAAAGGACATATTCTATGTTACTTTTTTGTAGGCATTAAATGTTTTCCATAAAGTTGATTATTCAATTGAATATTCATACCTATCAATAGTCATATATTTGGCAAGCAAAAATTGCATAAAATTTTCATAAATACACATTATTGTTTACTGAAATATTTCTCTTATGCCACCAAAAAAGTGAGAGAAAAAATCACTAGTATCTGAAAAATAAATTTTTATTTCAGCAATGTGTAACAAAATTGGATAACTGACTAAAGGAGAATGCCAATGGCGGTAAGTAAAGACTTATGATATTTAACTCTGTGTTATAACTGCAAAATTTTTTGAAATTTTTGTCACAATAATGTAATATATGCATTTTGAAATATTTTATATTTATCGATTCAGTTGGTACTTAATTGATGTAGTTGAAATTTTTTTATTAATGTGATATTTCAGGAAACCTGGCAACCTGGTCAGGAGGTTGTTGCCGTGTATGATTTCCGAGGAACAACTCGAGAAGATTTGCCATTTTGTAAAGGCGATGTACTTAGTATAGTTAAAACTACAAGGGTAAGTTCTTTTGCCAACCTGTAAACATAATTATTGTTTTTTGTAATGTTATTCAGAACTTTAAAGCATGCCCATAATTTTCTTGTTTGAAAGTATACTATAGTAGATAAAAGTTGATGTCACCTTTAATTTACAGATTGTTTAACTCACAAATTTTGCCTCAATTGTACATGATAATTTTTTTAATATGATAATGGATATGGTGTTTGTAATGATCAAAATAATTTAATGTCTTTTACATGTTATAAAATTATAATATATTATATATGAATTGATTAGATCTAGAAAAATAGAATATAATCCCAAAAGTTTTTTTTCCTGAAAGGTGATAAGTATTTTTATAGGATTATTAAGACAGGAGAACATAGTATTATAATTATGTCATCATTTAGCTATTATATAATCATATGTTAGATTGTAAGAACAGGTGTCTAAATTACAATACTTACTAAAAATAATTTTCTTGCTAGTATGATAAGTGTCACTGGCTTGTATTCATTATATAAGAATTTACTGTGTTTAGGCAAAGTGTATATCTACACTAGTTTACATTACTTTATGTCAGTATTCATTTAACTTCTTATTAAGACATTGAATTAGCACTTCTTATGTTCATTTGAATGTACATGTATCTGTTTACAAGTGTAATGTAACTCTTAGTTGAAACATTTTTGGACATCATCAGTCAGGAATTTGTAAAGGAAAAAGAAAGCAATTGTAGATAATGGACAGCTTATTATTTTAAATCTATTTTAGTCATTAACACTTTGAATTAAAGAGGTTAAATAGGGAAATACATATAATATAAATGTGTTATATTTAGTATAAGGTGGTGTATGATAGAAAGCTTTTCCTCCTTTATTTTAACTTAATTACTTGAAGGTTAATTTAAGTCATAACATTTTTTTAAAATGACTGTTCATGATATGACTGTGATGATATGAGTAATTTCCATGTACATATGTAATCTAATCTGAACAAAAACAAAATGATAAAAGTGTACATTGCAAGTCATGTTTATAATTTAAGTGATAAAAATGCTAGTATATTATTAATCATACATAAAGCATTGAATATGAATGGCTTAATCATCAAATATTTAAAAGCCAAAATAGACTAGGTATCAATGGGAAAACTTTTAATCAAATTATAGGTCATGATAAAAAAATCAATGAATTTAAGGAAAACAATTTTAGATAAAACATGATTAAATGTCAAGATAAAAAAACTCAAAACAATATTTTAATTATGATGAATATAAAATAGTGATGCTTATGACCTAAAGAAAATAAGTTATGAATAAAAGAAATTTATTGATTAAATATAGATTATGTTTACTATAGTATTGATAGTAAAATTTGGATATGTATGTTGTTCTTGTAGGGCGTCTGTTGCCTAGTGGTTATGGTCATTGACTTAAAAACCACATGCCCATCACTGCTGTGAGTTACATGTAGAATCATGATAGGGACTTTAGATTCTTTCATGTGAGGAAGCTTTTAACTTAAGCTAGCTTATTGAACATCAGTGGTTCTGGTCAGGTGCCTGAAAAGTGCACTGAAGTGCAACCGAGGTCTTTCTCGACCAGTAAAGGTGTAAAGTTGCTATATGACCTTTACTGTGTTGGTGCAACGTAAAACCCAACAAAAATAGAAATATTGTTCTTAATAGTTCCTAACAGTAATATCATATTTCTTAACAGAATGTGTCAGCTTATAAGTAGCATTTCCTTTTACTGCTTATATTTCTTGCTTCATTATAGCATAGAGAAAATGAAATATGATTCTTCACATTTTATGATACATATACAATCTAGTGTAAAATTTCCATTGTGTGAGTGTTGACATTAGGAGATACTTCTTGATAAGAATTTTTATTCTTGACATTTACTGAAGGCTGAAGTTTGTCTTGTTCCTGAGCCTGAAACAAGTCACCCAGAGAAGTGATTTTAATAGGATTTTTAATTAAAACTTGCTCTGTATCCGGATCCATTGCATAACACATGCATCCCCCTGTTCTCCTTCAACGCGAGTTAAAAGATCTCCCTTTCTGTCTACCAGTACCTTACAAGTCTCATGCATGTCTTACTAACTTATAACTACAGATCGATGGCTATAAAAACAATAACTGTCTAAATTATAAATAACGTACATCTATATTGTTTTGTCGTATAGTGATTACTTTGGATATTTCTAATAGGAAGTAAGATATCAAACAATGTTGTTGTTGTCAGAAGTAATTTATCACTGATTTGAAATAAATGGGTCACAAGGTCATATAAAATATTGGCGTAAATATAAGATAAAGTCATGAATATTTATTGTAGATTATTATCTTATAGCTAGACTGTTATGTCTGCTTCTATATTTAAAGCCACTAGAAATAAATCGAATGACATAATATTGAATATAAACTTCCTGTTTGAAATGTTGAGTTACGTAAGTTCTCAGGTTATATTTGTCATCCTTAAGACTTCAAATGTATAATGTATGTTGAGTGTTCTTTGTACCCATGTCTTTACCCGATAATGGGAAGTGATTTATAGAGCCAGGCCAGCCTGCAGTTTGACTATGTTGTTTACTGTTATTAAGACACCGTTTTGTATTTTCATACTGAAATCAAATATTATAAACTTTTAATGAATTGTTTCAAATTCAAATCTGGCCAAACTCATTATATAAATTCAGCAGGATTAAAGGTGAAATTGTTTTCTAAAGTCAAAATGTATAGAAATTCATATTGTACAATGTTCAGAAGTCAAGTTGACATATTTTATAATTAATCAATTTCCTTTTTCTGTCAGTAAGTTGAATCAATTTAATCAATGAATAAATGTTTGAAAACTTGCCATGATTGATGAATTTGTACAGTTAAACAAACAGTAGAAGGTGAGATATTAGTGAGTATCAGCAGGATGATGCACTTCCAATAGCAACACTAAAAAGTCAAAGTCTTTTAATTTAAGATCATATTTACTTCAAATTTACTTTTATACTTTAACTTGTAATGAACCAATGGATGGAACACCAACAAACCCTGTGTTTTAATATCTTAGATGGATAATGGAGGTAAAAAATACCTTTAATAGGATAAAAATATGAGTTAATATAGCATTTATACTTGTTAATCACATTAGGTCCTTTCTTTCTCTGTTTGTTTGTTTGTTACCAACTAAAGTAATGTATATTCAGATTATTTTCATACCATTTTCTGCTAGCTTTCATTCAGGTTTCATGTGTACCTGATCCTTCCAGTATAAAAATGTTGCCATAAAAACATACATTACAAACTTATAATCAGACAGGAGTGAAAGAAGCAATTTCTTGCATATCAGACAGGATTGTCTACCATTTTCACCGGTGCTAGAAAAACCTGTCTCATACCCCCATGTAAGACAAGTTATGTGCTTTAAATGACATCATTGCCAAGCGTCTCTGAAGAATGAATTGAGCTCTTAGGATGACATCATTTTACTGTTATAAATGAAGTTGTATATAGTTACGCTACTATAAGAAAAAAGTGCGTAATGGGAATATCAGTTTTCGTAATTTCTGTCCTGAAAATAATTGATATAGAATTACAAGAAAAAGATTCAAACATCGGCTGTCAGTACAGACGGGAATATCTAGCTGTCGGTTAACTGTCTAGCGGAAACTCTACAGAGCCTTGTTACCACCGTAAACAGTTACCCTCGGTCTGTACCGACAGCCAGTGTATGATTCTTACAAACTTCTGTATGAAATATAGCTATCAAATGAAAATATATGTACATCAATACACATATTATAAAGACTAATTTTAAAACTTGTTAAACAACATTCCTTAATAACTTCAGAGTGAGAAGTTTGTAGGTGTAAATATTAGGACCAGTTTTACTAAACAATGATGAATTAATACAAGTCAGTTACAAATAACCTTGAAGTTCATAGATTTGAAATAGATCTAGCTTTGTTTAATCCTGAATAGATGACATACCCAATTCAAACATTTTTATTTACAAAAACATGAAGCGTAACAGGTATATTATATAAAGAGGAAGTTGTTTTGGAAATATTGTCACTTCAGACTTTAGATAATAAGGTAGTATGACAGTCTACCCAATCACTTTCATTGGGTTGATACATGTATGTTGTAATATAAAAAAGAAAACTTCCGCTGTGATAAGGGCAGATACATGAATATGGAAAAAAAGGTAAAGGTATTTTTACTTGTATTCCAAGAGTTTTAATTTGAATTTATGTTTAAAGCAGCCTTCAGCTTTTCTAAAAGGTTAAATATATGTTATTTTTAGATAAATTGATTACATACATTATGATTGTAACATCAAAGGAATTAAGGTGGAAAATGCGTTAAAATACGTTAAAAAAAATATTTGAATAAAGAAACCCTTAGATAGCTCTAATCTACCGGTCAGCCCTCTAAATAAATAAAGCGGACTAAAAATATCTGTCATATTTTTGCGGTTCAGATCGGAATATCCCTTTCCGAGATGACCCGCCCATGGGCGGGTGACTGAGGGACGGATATTCCGATCTGAACCGCAAACATATGTCAGATGTTTTTTCTTGCATATTCTTGCATATTCCATTATATTTTAAATTCTTTATCCGTATTTTCAATGAAAATTTATATCATTACAACCGTAACTATTTTCCCACAACAGCATGAATTACAACTTCATTCATAACAATAAAATGACATCATCCTAACCGTGCCATTGTACAGCACGCGACTCATCTGGAACCCCCCGTGCCAGATGAAATTTCAGGCATGGGGAAAACTCACGGAAACTCCAGTCTGGTGTGCATGAAAATTCGTTTCCCGATATTCTATTTTTAGAAGCGAAAGTCTCTTTGGATACGTTGAAGAACACTTAACAGTGGTATTCATATGATGCACTTTTCCAAAACAAAGTTGCTGAAATACTTAGTTTGAAATAACACAGAATTATTTTTCCATCAAAAAATAAAAGCTGAATTATGCTCTAACATTTTATTGCTCTGTGTTTACGGAGAAATGATTATTGTTTTGATTGGGTTTTACATCACACCGACACAGTATAGGTCATATGGCGACGTTCCAGCTTTACTGGTGGAGGAATACCTCAGGTGCCCTTCCGTGCATTATTTCAGGCAGGAACGGGCACTTGAGTAGAACCATCTACGTTCTGTAATCTAGCTGGATAGCTTCCTTACATGAAAGAATCCAAAGTCCCTGTTGGGATTCGAACCCACAGCGGTGAGGGGCAAGTTGTTTGAAGTCAACAACCTTAACCACTCGGCCATGGACGCCCCGAGAAATGATTAAATGGTTGATTAAATGTGGTAGGGATCATAGACCAAAGTCACACATTAATACAGGGTATGTTCACATCAAGAACTCTAAGGCATTGTTTGTACATAAAGAACTGACAGTGTTTGAATTTTAGCCTTGGATATGTTTTTCCATGCCAGGATTAAGGCTTGTGGTATTTCATTGTTGCCTTATCAGGGGATATTGTATAATTATGTGCCCAATTAACATGAATTTAGCATTGACATCACATCAATTCACAGTCATTGTAAGGAACCGCCCTCAAGCAGATGAATGCATACAGTTTGGGCAGATATTTGGTTGTTATGTGTACCATGGGTATTAACAGTGGCAATTTGAAAACAGTTGAGTTATAATTGGTTTTATATGACACATTATCATTTTACATAATTATGTAAGGCATTTCACGTGTTGATTTCTTTTCATTACAATAATAAAATTGCACTTTCTAATATTACACACATGTTTTATTGACGTAATTTGATATGCATTTGAAATAATAAAAAAAGAATGTAAAAAATGAAATAATGTGTTATATTATATTAAGATATATGTATATAATATGCATTTTAATCCATCAAATCTTGCCCAATAATTAAAGATGGTGGGGTTTTGTCCACTGTGTAAAATTGAAGGTGTGGGGTTTTGTCCACTGTGTAAAATTGAAGGTGTGGGGTTTTGTCCACTCTGTAAAATTGAAGGTGTGGGGTTTTATCCACTATGAAATTTTAAGGTGTGGGGGTTTTACTGCTGGGGTTTTGTCTGTCTTCTTAAAAAAAATACATGTATAAATCGAAAGTTTCTTTTTTGTACAAATAGAAGTAAATGCTTAAAAAAGACCCTTTGGGAAATTAAAATTTCTTGTAATTTTTCTATTCCACTGAAGAAGAAACAATCAGAAATAAAGATCTATTACATCTTTTGCTTCAAGGGAATGCTGTTACGATCATTTTCTGTTACTTATACTTTGTAACGATGATTGTTTTAATGAAAGACATTTTTATTGTTTTTCATAAAAATTAACATGAATCTGGAAGCCTGCTGCTTTATATAAACCATGGTCTTTATAACAGTTACTACTAGATTAAAGTATTGTAACAAACTTTAGCTTTTATTTAAGAAAAAGAGTATGTAAGTGGATTATGTAATTTTATACTAGGTTTATCCTAATTGTTAATGCAGGATACAATAGTTGATAATAGAAGATATTCTTTCCTGTTCAGTAGATTAATTAAGGAAAATATTATAAAACAGCTGCAGTCACTTCCTGATCTTGTGTTTTGGTTCTGACTGGAATTTTTGTTCTCTAATTTCTAACAACAGTTGTTTAGTTTGTTTTGTAGGTCTGCCAAAATCATTACATCTCTTTACTGCTATTTATATTTTTTCCTCTGTATAAAAAATCATATATTTTATAGTAAATCATAGGTGAATTAACTATATAACTATATAATATATTCCAAAACAGTCAGTCTTTGAAAAAATTCCCAGGGCTATAAATCTGATTGATAATGATGTAATATTAGGAAAGTATTAAAGTAGAATTTGTTATATGAAACTAAAATCTGATTGAATTGAATGAGAAAACTAAAAAAAATTATCTTTCAATTTATACCAGGAAGTTAAAAATAAAAAGATTAAAATATTTCATAGATAAACTCATGTAGGAGAAATTTGTATAAATTTGTACAAATATTTTAATCAAAGAGGAAGTTTTGGTCATGTTTTTTTTCCTGGTTGTTATGGCTGTGAGAATTTTGCAAAAATTTAGTCTTATTGGTATTATATAGGTGTAGAATAGAATATAATATATAAAAATGTAAAAGTCACTTATTAGGTTACTATATGACACACTTTTGTACAAAAGAAGTCAATATTTCTCAATTACAAATATATAAGGTTTTATATGTCTTAAAAATTCCCTAAAATATTAAATTAACCAACTGTTTTATTTGTGAATGTTTAATATATGATAGTGTTGACAAATTTATTGATTTAAAGAGCTGGGAGTTGTATAAACATGCGGAAGATTTTTAAATTCCCCAGTTATATAAAATCTTCCCATACATTAATGAAAAGAATCTTAAGCAATAAAATTTGACACCAGTTAAACAAGAAGTACATGTTAGTATCTGATTTAGAGGTTAAATAAACATGTTGTATTATACAGCTATACATACAAGTATATGAGTCATAAATATCTTTCTTATCTCTGTAATAGGACAAAAATCTGTAAAAATGTTTTAACTCCACTTTTCAAAGAAAAATTTTGCTCAATTGAAATTATGAATTTTTCTAATGGCCTTAGAATGATTTTTTTTTTCACATGAAGAAGTGAGAACTTGGTCTTTATTGATAGCAGCACTATATTACAAGATGCTCAAATAAATTTGTAAAACCCTTTTCGAGGTTGCTGTAAGTTTAAAATATAAAAAAGATGAAATATTTAACTAGCTCAAATCAATAGTAATAAAGCTAAAAATAGATATACTTCATTTTAAACTGATAATAGATAAAGGGATCCAGAGCAAACATTGTTTATATCTTTTTACATGATTTTTAGTAAAAATATGGGAAAATATATACTTTTAAGGGGGGAAATTGTGCTGAATTTCGGCACCAAAATTTGTGATTGAGATCCCTGTATTTCTTCCAGAAAAGCTGTGAAGTCACAGTTTGAACCTTACTGTGTCTGTGTGACATACAAGATACCAAAAAAAACTTTTGTCTGTCTTAATTCTATAAGGCGTAAGCCAGAGAATTTTGGCTTTAATATGACATTCCTGCAGACATATTGAAATATAATATTGACCGTTAAATTACCTTGTTCTTGAGGGGCAGCTTAATTCAGAAACTTCACTGTTACTTTATTAATTATTGTTAATCTGTTGCAATGTAGCATTTGTATTTATTTTTTTTAAGCAGGTCTGGTTTAAACTATGATTTTCTTCATGTTTTGAAAAAAATCATTGAATGATGCTGAAATAACTTTTGCAATGTCGTATATTCATGTATAAAGTTTTGTGATTATAAATTGACTGACTTACTTTATATTTTAGGATGTGAATTGGTACAAAGCAAAAAATAATAATGGGGAAGAAGGAATGATTCCAGCTACATATGTTCAGAAACGGACAGAGGTTTCCCTTCATGCTATGCCGTAAGTTATACACTCCTTCATATATTATGATGATAACCAATTTTGTATAGACTTTTATTGTGCCCCAACGTTAGTGGTGGGCATTTAGATTTACCCTTGTCCGTCCGTCCGTCCTTCCGTCCGTCCTTCCGTCCGTCCGTCCGTTCACTTTTGTGTCGCACGTAACTCAAAAAGTATTTGACCTAGAGTCATGAAACTTTACAGGAATGTTGATCAGCATGTGAAGTTGTGCACCTGGGTATTTTCATCTGGATATTTTTAGTATTTTCAGAGTTATTGCCCTTGACTTAGTTAAATTTTGCAATTTTCAACTTGTGTCGCATGTAACTCAAAAAGTATTTGACCTAGAGTCATGAAACTTTACAGAAATGTTGATCAGCATGTGTAGTTGTGCACCTGGGTATTTTCGTCTGGATATTTTTAGTATTTTCAGAGTTATTGCCCTTGACGTAGTAAAATTTTCAAATTTTCAACTTGTGTTGCACGTAACTCAGAAATTATTTGACCTAGAGTCATGAAACTTTACAGGAAAGTTGATCAGCATGTGTAGTTGTGCACCTGGGTATTTTCATCTGGATATTTTTAGTATTTTCAGAGTTATTGCCCTTGACTTAGTTAAATTTTGCAATTTTCAACTTGTGTCGCATGTAACTCAAAAAGTATTTGACCTAGAGTCATGAAACTTTACAGGAATGTTGATCAGCATGTGTAGTTGTGCACCTGGGTATTTTCATCTTGATATTTTTAGTATTTTCAGAGTTGTTGCCCTTGACTTAGTAAAATTTCGCAATTTTCAACTTGTGTCGAACGTAACTCAGAAAGTATTTGACCTAGAGTCATGAAACTTTACAGGAATGTTGATCAGCATGTGTAGTTGTGCACCTGGGTATTTTCATCTGGATATTTTTAGTATTTTCAGAGTTATTGCCCTTGATTTAGTAAAATTTTGCAATTTTCAACTTGTGTCGCATGTAACTCAAAAAGTATTTGACCTAGAGTCATGAAACTTTACAGGAATGTTGATCAGCATGTGTAGTTGTGCACCTGGGTATTTTTGTCTGGATATTTTTAGTATTTTCAGAGTTATTGCCCTTGAGTTAGTAAAATTTGGCAATTTTCAACATGTGTCGCACGTAACTCAAAAAGTATTTGACCTAGAGTCATGAAACTTTACAGGAATATTGATCAGCATGTGCAGTTGTGCACCAGGTATTTTCGTCTGGATTTATTAAGTATTTTTAGAGTTATTGCCCTTCACTTAGAAAATTTTTGCAATTTTCAACTTAAGTCGCTAGTTTCTCAAAAAGGATTTGACATAGTTATTAAATCTTATGGGCAGGTTGCTCAGCATATTTTAGATTTGCACCTGGGGTTTCGCTTGTGGATTTATCCAGTATTTGTAGAGTTATTTCCCTTGACTTAGTAAAAAGATCGACAGAACAGTGGCGCGGTGGGGGCACCCGTGTCCTATGGACACATTTCTAGTTAAAGCACTTTTACCAACAAAACTTTATCAAATAAAACAGATGAGAAAATTTTAATGATTTCAATACTACAATGGCTTTTTATAAGTAATAGTGATATAATGATATAAGGAAAATGTAAAATGAAGTAGAGTGCTTTTCCTTCATTTCTTAATATAATTTATACTTAAGATTTAACACTAATTTATGATAATTAGTTTATATTTTCATGTTTTAAATTGTTTAAAGAAAGGGAAAGGTGTGTTTGGTGAAGGTATGAAATGATGCATTAATTGTTATTTTGTACTGAGACAGATTAATGTATTCATTGTTAATTGTACCAGTGTTTTTCCAGTTAATGTTTAACAGTAAATGAGCCCTGTCGTGACAAAACCAACATAGTGCGTTTGCGACCAGCAAGGATCAAGACCAGCCTGTGCATCCGCGAAGTCTGATCAGAATCCATACTGTTCCCTATCAGTTTCTCTACTTGTAATAGGGTTGGTAAGCGAACAGCATGGATCCTGATCAGACTGCGCGGATGCGCAGGCTGGTCTGGATCCTTGCTGGTCGCAAACGCACTATGTTGGTTTTGTCATGACGCGGCTCATTAATATTCAAAGAGATTCTGGTATGATGCTGGTTCCATTAACTTTAACAGCATCCAACCTAGTTTATTATTTCCCCACATAATTTGGAGGAGCTATACTGGAGTCACTTTGGTCAGTCAGTTGGTGTTTCCATATCCATTGTGTGCTCTAAAAATCCAATTCATTTAAAGATTTTTTTCAAACTCGGCTCAGATGTTCACCTCACAAGGCAATGTGCAGAACCCATGCCTCTTATGTGCAGGCCTTTGGTAATGGCCACCCATGAGGGTCAAATATCTCACAGTTTTGTGTCTGCTCTATAAGTCTTTTATCGTAGAAGGATTTTCTTTAAACTTGGCTCAAAATTTAATGTTTACCTTAATTAACAATGTAATGTGCAAAACACATGCTGCCACTGTGATTACTCAAGTTAAAGGCCAAAATTTAAACAGTTTGTGTAAAGTAAGCAAACTTATAACACTAAACACTTATGATTTTTTTTCCAACATGAAGAGTTAGTCAACGGTGTTAACTTTCAGATGAGGTTTAATTTTTGATAATAGAATTTTTACTTTGACATATCTTTGCACAGGAGGGGATAAAACCTGATGCTATGTAACACGTTAATTTCTCTTTGTAGAGTTTTAAACTGTTGATCAGCATTAAATCAGAAATTTTAAACTGCCTCTATTTTAAGTTGCAAGTTTCGACTATAATTTAGTTGGCAAACACTTGTATATTATTAGCAGTAATTTATGATTTTTGAATTAGATTTTTTGGGTTCGAAGTAGATCTGGAGTGCTTACAAGTGTCAGAATGGCAAATGCAGCGTTTCCATTGTTGTTACAGGACTATATAAGCTACAGATATTTTTAATTATTCTAAGACTTATTTATTAATTGCGTCTCATGTTTCTAGCTGGCATCACGGGGCTATCTCGCGTCAGGAGGCAGAAGATTTGCTTCAGGCACGTGAAGATGGTGTTTTCCTTATACGAGATAGCGTACATTTTCTAGGAGATTACACATTGTCCGTCTGCTGTGATAAACGTGTTGATCATTATCGAATATTGACTCGGGGAAATCATCTTGAGGTTGATGGGGGAGAGTGTACTTTTGATAGTCTAATGTCATTGGTGGAGGTAATGGTCATGTGACTGAATGTTCACGTTATGCTCCTCAGTTTTATGAACGATCATTTTCTCATGTTATCATCAGTAGTGCAGTTTATTTATTTATATTTTGTTTATATTTGTGTTCCGAAAATTTTTGTTTTGTAATGTGCATTAGCAGTTTTATATGTGGAGTTGTTAGCATGAGATATTTTTAGAATTATAAGTAACTATTTCAACAGGTCTTGGAAACTGTTTTGATCAAACAACATTTTCTTTATAAGGATAGAGTTAACGGGGAATTAATAAGAGCGTGTGATATTTTGACAACTGATCATACAGTATGTCGCACATCGTCATGTTTGTTTATACATAACATTCTATAATGATCATCATTTCACTTGGTACTGTTTTATTTTGGGCACATTTTAGGATTCGTGTTGATAAAAAATGGATTATGAAGTAAGCTGCTTAAAAATATTTTGTAAAACATACAAGGAACTGCAATAATGGTTTCTGATGATCTTTCTATTTTGGTAAGTTGCAATGAATGTAATATGAAATTTTAAATACTAGTTACACAGCTTCTCAAATGAGTGTTCAAGAAATGATGTGAGTGTTCTAACAAAAAGCTGTATGTAACAAGGAGTTTTTGTAATTAAAAGATAAGATTTACTATATTTTAAATTAAAGATGTCTCTATATAAATTTAGTGCTTGATGTTGAATATGGAAGCAGTGGAATCGGCATGAGATATTGTCCTAAAACTTAGCCTATAATAAAGTACCGTATTGTTTGTTTCCCCTTATAAGACTAACTTGCAGAAACTGCCAGAACCCAATAATTTTTTTTTGTAGCAGAAACTGTAAATGAGAATAATTTCTTTGGTTTAAAGCTTTTTAACATACCATGCTAGAAATAAATTTTTTGAAGGCAAAACTACTAAAGATAATTATATCTAATAACAAAAAATACATTTTTTTTTTCTTTCATACCTGCACTAGCCTAACATGTAGCCAGGGTCCAGGAAGGGGAAACAAAGATATTTTTTAGGCTAGCCCTACAGATGATGTACCTCTTATTCTAGTTTACAGGTTCTTGTTGTTTTGTCATGCCTTGAAGTGACATGTCAGAGTTTGTCTTTGTGTTTACTACACAACAAGTTAAACTTCTGTATTTTCCCCCCATATTTTGATTATTAAAAGTCATGGAAGATAATTAACTTTTTATCTCAGATCATACTTTTCAATCACCACATGAAAAAAAATTCAGTGAGTTATGAGCCCTCTATGTTTAAGATTTTTAGCTCGACTATTCGCAGAATAATCGAGCTAATGCAGTCACCCATTTGTCGGCATCGGCGTCCCTGTGGTTAAGTTTTTGTATGTAAGCTGGTATCTCCATAACTACTGAAGGGAATGGATTGAAATTTCACACACTTGTTCTCTGTGATTATCTAAGATGATTGGCACAAGTCCCATAACTCTGATTTGCTTTTTTTCATAATTATGCCCCTTTTTCGACTTCGAAATTCTTGGTTAAGTTTTTGTATGTAAGCTGGTATCTCCATAACTACTGAAGGGAATGGATTGAAACTTCACACACTTGTTGTCTGTGATTATCTTATATGATTGGCACAAGTCCCATAACTCGGATTTACTTTTTCGCATAATAATGCCCCTTTTTCGATTCATAAATTCTTGGTTAAGTTTTTGTGTGTAAGCTTGTATCTCCATAACTACTGAAGGGAATGTATTGAAACTTGAAGGGTTTGTACCTTTTCGGACAATTTTATGTATTCATATAGGTAAGCATTATTATACTCAATGAAACACCCTTGTGACAAATTTTCGAATAGTCGAGCGTTACTGTCCATCGACAGTTCTTGTTCTTATTACCATTACATATCATGTAGTGTATTAGAGATCTCCTTTTATAGACTACAGACTCAGGCGGCCAGACTTAAAATACAGAAATAATGTCACAATATATGGTAAATTAAGTAAAGAACACTGGAAAGAATGTACAAGGTTAAATTACCATAGGCACAATATTAGGTCATAAGTAAAAATGCTGACCAAAATCAATACAGAAGTTTGGCTTTAACAAGTTTTGATAGTATATGTAGTTGCTTTAAATGTTGTTCCAAGAATGTATTTCTGGCTTAAACAGATGGCTGACAGCAAGACATAGCTTCCATTTGATCAACTCATTTTCAAATCTAATCTCTTAACAGTCACATGACCAGCAGGGATAATCTTAGAAATGCGGAATATGAAGAAAAAAAAAATTTACGAAAAGAATCCAGTTTTGACATTAAGGTGATAATAGTTAATATTACTTTTTCACTTTAACTTTAAAGTGGATACACTACACTAGGACAGATTGGTAGTTAATTGAAGCAGAGATACTAGGCTTTTACTTTGATAGTTACTGTTACTTCCTGAACCAGTAATTGGCAAAAAAAAATCCCACAAAAATAGGAAGTAAACTTTGTTGATGAATATGACTAATGATAACATTACTTTTTCAGACTTAAAAAAGGAACAAAAGTGTGTAGAGTTTCTGTTCTTAGGCAGAAATACATTTTAGATTTTTTTTATTTCATTTCTTTTCCCTTTATTTTGATTTCTGTATCTTAGAGGCATGCTCCTTATTTTAGATGGTTTCATGGAAAAATAGATAGAGGAAAAGCTGATGATTTGTTACAGCCGCGTCAGGATGGACTTTTTCTTGTACGGGAAAGTGTAAATTTTCCTGGGGACTATACTCTAAGTGTATGCTGTACAAACAAAGTGGAACACTACAGAATTATTTATAAACATAACAAATTAACAATTGATGAGGACAGTTTCTTCGATAATTTACCACAGCTAGTCGAGGTATAATTTACACAAGCAACAAATGTTTTGTTGAGGCTTTATTGTATAACCCATGACTGTCCATTATGTGAAATAACAAAACTACAAAACTTCTGCTGAGACAAACATTTCATATTTGTATCACAATTGTGAAGGTATTTTTTATAATTATTGCCTTCATATTTAAAATTTAAAGAAGAAACTATGAGACAAGAGTTCACTAAATCATGTTAGCTAAATTAAGGGTATAAACAAAAAGGATGATATGTTTAAAAAGAAGAGGTTTTGTAGGGTTTGTTTCACTATTAACACTGGAGATGGCATGTCTATAGTTAGTAGTCACCATGGAAACAGTCTTGTCAGATTAATATTTTTTTCTCCATTCATTGTAATATGTGTGTTGTTGTTTCTAGATATTTTGTAGCTTTGCAAGCTGTTCTCTCTACCTATTACTGTTGTTCACATGTTGAACTTGCTCGCCAAAGATATTAATCTGACATAACTGTTTTTTCTTTATGATAGAACGACTTAAAAAGGTACGGAAAAAATGGCCATCGTAAATCAGTTCTTTTATTGTTAACTTACACCTGACATGTTTTAGATGGTTCCATGGCAAAATAGACAGACTGAAAGCTGAAAAACTTCTTTTAGACATCGAGACGAATGGTTTGTTTTTGGTGCGGGAAAGTGTACACTATCCCGGAGATTACACGCTCAGCGTCTGTCATAAAAACAAAGTGGAACACTATCGTATCATCTACAGCAAAAATAAACTAACGATTGATGAGGAAGGATATTTTGATAATTTACCAAGGCTTGTAGAGGTAACACACCCTCGTAGCCATAACAACCCAAAACATTCCCTCCATATATAAATGTAGAAATTTGTATAATTATAATCTAAATATGAATAAGTCTTGATTTGTTTCCAGTATAAACTTTGTCTACTTTCTAAACATAATATAATAAAAAAATCAGTCTTTCCATTTTCATTTTACCATGATGTCTTTCCTGAAATTTTAAGTTTAAACTGGATTGATTCCTTTAAGGGTAAAATATGTATACAATAATGAGCTTTAACAGAAAACAGAACTTAAAGTACATGTGTACATGTATTTATGGACAAACATTGCAAAACCTGGAATACATCATATTGTATTTTCAGTAGTTACAAGTATTATAGTTACCGGTATAACTTAGGTCTTCTTGATTTAAGATAGAAACTCATTTGCTAGGTCTCACCTGATAATTTAATGAATGGATTTGAACATATTTTATCTTGATCATTGAAATTATTCCACTGCATCTGTTAGACTGTTCTTTTAATAAACAAAGGGCATAATCCTACTGTAAAGCATTATTATGAACCCTGGTAAGAATCACTTGCCACTAAACCTGCACAAGACTTTTGGGGACGAGGAAGCTTGCCAGCATGTGATATGATAGATAAAGCTAATGAATGTTGGTGGTTCTACTCAGATGCCAGCTCATGCCTGAAATAATGCCGTACAGGGCATGAAATAATACACAGTGAGGCATGTTAAATCTTCCTCCACCAGATGCCATATGACATTTAAAAGTATCGAGATGACTAAAAACCCAACAGAGAAAAAAATTTAGGAAAATTGTTTTAACTTTTGCAATTATACTGGAAATATGTCAAGATATTTGTTTTACAAGTATAATTATATTTACCATATATATACATAATAAAGTCCTTTCTTTGGTGACCTATGCAAACAGCTCTTTCTTCACTGTATTGAAATATTAAGTTGCAATAAAATTGCATGTAAATTGTGGGTTTGGGAAGAAGAAATAATGCATTTTAGATTGTTTTCTTTGTAAAGATTAGTTTTGGGAACTGAAAGGGTGTTGCTCTAATATAAAAGGATTTTTATAGATTACTGTTGTTTTCTTGTCAGTATTGGATAGAAATGTTGATAAAATGCTTAAGCTTTTAACTTTACACGCTTTTGACAGTTACTGCAGACATACTGTTATTTACACAAGAACTTTGCTGACTCTGCCTCCATGTCCTTATGCTTCATTCCCCCCGACCCCCACTTTCGTGAAACATGAAAACTTGTAGCATATTTTTTGAGGACAAGGATCATGTAAATGTTGACAGTGTCTTTGTCTAACAGTGCTAGCCAACAAAAGTAGACAAATCTTAATAACCTGATATTGTCAAACGATATAACTTGTGATACTTTTAATTCTATTATGTTAACTAAACGGAAATATGAAACCAGTGTCTGTGCATATATGATATAATTAACCAGTATATTAGCTTCCGTATAAAAATAAAGTGATGTATATCATATGATAACAAAAAACATAATTTGGTCAACCCATGTGACATTTTCGGTATTTCCAACACATTGAAAACTGTTTAATATCAGACAGCTTTGTTGTATTCAAGATGAAGAACTGATTTAAAAAACTTTGTCAAACATGCATCTTTAACATAAATGATATGCTTCCCTTAAAACCTTTTTCCTTTTACTTATCAAAAATATAGATGTGATTTAGAAAAATTACTTGATTAAAGTACATGGTATTTTGAATATTTTAAAAATTTGAAGAATATTTTAAATTTCAAGCTTAAGCTGCTTTGAAAGGTGGAAAATAAAAGTTAATTTCTGTTCAGATTGGTTCAATATCTGAGACAGAATTATGTGATGATTGGCAGCAACAGGTTCGCTCCATGTGACCAGTGCAGACCAGGATCAGCCAGCACATCTGGTCATGGTCTGCACTGTTTGCTATTCAGTAAATATTTTGAAATTTTCCTTAAAGGGGAGGAATGGTTTCGTCCATATTGAAAGGAGAATTTATTCAGGGAAAGTTAAAAAAGATGCAAATAAATGTAAGCAATACCAGGAAGTTGTATGGGTTTGTCACCTTCAAATATCTATAATCAAAACTAAATAACTGATACATAAATTTTAATGGTACATGATGTATTAGGGAATATTGGTCTTGTATATTTTGTCCATGGAACATCTATGAACATTTCACAAGTTTTTTTGGTTTTTTTAAGCTTTAACTTTATTGGCTGAATAAAACATAACCTTGGTGAATGTGATCTTGAATTATTAATCACTTTCTGCTGGTTTACCATCTTTTCTTATTTATAATACATTATTTTAAAACCACGCTTTCATTACACTAAACAAATATTTAAAAGAATTATACACTGTTTTAACTCCTTTCTCCTCATTTTTTTTTCAATAATGCAAAACTTGGCTTATTTCTGGCAGAACTCCTGTTGACATGGCAACAGAATCATAAGATATTTTTAATGTGATCAGTAAATTTTAATTTCTATAAAAAAGGACATAATGTGGCTGAGAGGTGTTTTTCCTCACCCAGTCTCTTTAAAGAATCTTTTTTGAAGATACATCTTTGCTGGAGGGTGATGTATATAATTATACGGTTCTATAGTCATTATTAGTGTCTTGTTTTCACTGATTATGGAAAACTCCTGAGAATTTCTGACTAAATTCACTCTGGGAAGCTTGCTGTAGATATCTTAAGCTTCAGCATATAACTAGAATGGGGAGATGGACATATAATAAACTAATTCACTTTACTAACTTTCCTATTATTCTAGCTAATTAGATATTTCTTGGCACAGAAGAGATGATCAGTTAAAGGACATTTGGTATATTTCATGTTATATAACATTTGAAGACTCCTTTATTTGATATAATACTTCTTTATATAATCAAACTTTTGAATAATATATACAACAGTTTTCATGCGGACTGATTAAAGAAAGTTTTGTATGTTTTATTTTATTAATATACCATGATTTCTGTTTAGGGCATGCTATATACGAGTAGGTATTAAGTGGAATATATATTACACACATCGATTGATTTAATTAAGAGATTATTTTGAAGTAATTTCTTTTATTTTTCTGATGCTAATTAGTCTGTTTTCATTTCTGGAAAATGAAATTTCTTAGAATGATATTTTCCTGTATAAAAGATGTGTAATTGTTACACTGTGTTTGCATCAGATCTGCCTGTTCATTTGTCCATCCATTTCTTTACTTGTCTTTCGAACCATATTGCATTTTGAAATTCCCATTCAGTTCTCATTTTAATGTGACAAGAAATATCGAACATAGTTTTCTCTCTGTTTTGATGTATTTATTTATGCACTTTTATTTAAAGCATTTGATATTTTGTCAATTGTCAAGTTTATTAGCAAGCCATATAAAGGCATGTGACATGTAGAAAGGCATTTTGCAACTGTAATTAATGATTTCACTGTTTTTCTCTTTCAGTAAACATTAAATACTACATTGTACTGAGAATATATTAAGTAATTAAAAGTCATTCACACTGATATGAAGGTTTTATATACAAACAAATACATCTGTTAAAACTCCTGTTTTTATTGCCAAGTCTTAGTGTAGTAAAATATGTATACAGTCATTGTAAAGGAAATGCTTGTTAATAAAACATTATAATTGTATGATAACAACCATAATGTAACATGCTCTAATAGACTTGTTTCCAGGCTCATAATTATAACATGTTGTATTATAACTGACTAAATGTCAAAGAAAGTTCAATAGCAATTATTACACAAAATTTATTTTGTTTTATAACACATGATACTTATATATAATATATGCTGAATTGGACTTTGTTTTGTTCTACTAGTATCTTTATTTGTTCCTTAAACATCCATATTGAACATTTGATAACACATAATGGTTATAATAACACATATAGTAATAATGATAAACAATTTATTTCAAGAAGGTAGCATGTTAAAAAAATACATTTCTTATTGACAGCATGGCCTTCAGTTAAACAATAAGAAACACAAGTTTGTAGTATAAGAAATATAATCAGTAAGCAATTGAATCAACAGATACATGCATTTATCAGATTCGTTAATATTGCATATCAAGTAAATGTTTTATTTTCATATTTCTATAAAATATATTAAAAATTGAGGATTCTTTACTGTCACCAATTGTTACAGTGTCACAATATAGTATAATTATGTAGATCTTTATGTGTATTACATTGTTGTTGTTTTTTCAGCATTACACAAAAGATGCTGATGGCTTATGTACAAAATTAATAACACCACTGCCAAAACAAGGTGGAAACTTTTTCTCAGTCTCACCGGAAGAATTTGCGAAAGGAGGCTGGACTCTTAGCTTAGAAGATTTAAAAATTGGTGAACTTATAGGAAAAGGAGAATTCGGAGGTCAGACTTTATTTAATACTCTGTATTGATTAAGAATGTAAATACATGTACTCCAAATGGAAGAGATTATTTTCTACCTACACATTCTACCATATCTTTTGCGCTACTTAGTCGTAGAGCATCCATCGTTTTGAATCACTATATTAATCCTTTGTGCCACTTTTAAATTTCTTTAATACCATTCTGTATAATACCATTCTGTATGACCTATAAAGGGTCTAATTGGCATTATATTCATTTAAGCATCATAGCAGTTTCAAGTCTTTTGATTTTTATTTGAACTAAAATTAGACAGCTTGTATCACCATACATCGGATTCCATGCTAAGTGGTCTTATCCCATCTTGCATTACAGTGACTTAAATTAATTAAGTCTCGCTTTATGGACAATATCTGGATTAGTATTGATGAAACATTAGTAATGATATACAGTACAAGTTTAAAGTTATATGGGAAATATTGACATTTAAAGACGACAAACTATGACTGTGTTTCAGATGTAAATAAAGGTCTATATAAAGACAAACCTGTAGCAATAAAGAAACTCAAAGATGACAACAGGGCAGCTCAGTCTTTCTTACAAGAGGCTTCTTTGATGACGTAAGTACAACTTCTCTTGTACATTTACAGATGTCTTAACCCATTACTTCATATACACGCCTTTTAACGCCTTTTTCACCCCCCCCCCCTTTTTGTTGTCTCAAATGGTGAAAAAATGCATTATTTAGGCCCTTAACACTTGTTTTTGTTTGAGAAATGTTGTTTAAAAAAGTGACCACTTTTTCGGCGCGGCCCCACAACCAAAAGATACATCAGGGGGTTGCCAGAAGGGGGATGTGCCCCCTTCTGTTTGGGGGGGGTTTGAAGGGGGGCGGAGTCCCCCTCATCGCCAAGAAAATTTTGGACTTGTGAGAGGCTATAAATGACCCCAGATTGATCATAAGGTAACGTGTAACCAACGCTGAAAAGCATTTGACTCCATCTCAATCCATTGAGAAGTTGCAGCACTTTGAAATCAATTATAATGGAAAAAATCAACGCAAAATAGTGATTTTTGGCAATTTTGAGATGTCCCCTCGTTGCCATGGTAACAGAAAATTTAAGCCTGAGCATGTTGTTGCAAGGGCAATGGTCCAGTTAACATTTGTGCCAAGTTTGATTAGTGTTGAAGCAGTTTTTATAGTATTATAGCAATTTGAACTTGTAACGGGAGACTTTTCAATGAAAACAGCCATTTTTCACAAAATGCTCATGAAGTAATGGGTTAAGTGGTACAGCATTTGGTATAGTTCGAGTGAAATCTGTTGCATGAAAATCAAAAATAAAACAAGTTTCTTTCTAAATGGGTATCATATAAACAATTGTAAGTTTTCCCTTATTAAGAATCAGATGTTCTTTCACATTAAGCTGAAAGTTCAATTTCTATTGAATATTGGCTGTTTATATATTTTGTTGCCACAAGAGTCTCTGTTACCTTAATAGTGACAGTTCATATACCTTCTTGACATTTCACCTGCTGAAATTAGAAATGGATTTGTCCTGCTTTGAATTTGAAACAGTCAATTCAAAGTTTAAGGTATTACAATATCAAAGTATGAGAATTTAGCTATCAACAGTATAGAGCCTGGACAGACTGGTCGGATATGTTGGCTGGTCTGACTCTATACTAGTGACAAAGTCTTAGTTTTGATAACAGCAGGTCATGGGTTTAGATTGACTGAGTATCTGTGTTATGTGAGAGTGACAGTGAGTTCACTTCATTTTTAGTCAATTCTGGAGATAACTGGTATATTGACAATGTTAGCTGCCACACCAGTCATTAACACACATTCATATTAATTGTTCTATTTTAAGCAAATGATGCAGTGGTCTCCATAATACAACTTTTTGCAATATATAACTTAAATATTTTGTATTATTTTTGCATATTTTCATTATTTGTAGGTCAGTTCGTCACCCCAACCTCGTATCACTTATAGGAATAATTCAAGATAAAACAATATACTTAGTTTTAGAGTTTATGGGTAAAGGTAACCTTGTAGAATATTTACGATCTAGAGGACGAAGTGTTATCACAAAGAAGGATCAAATTAATTTTGCAAGGTAAGCTTATTTCAAGGTTCATTATATTGTTGACCCAGAAATAAATAGAGGATATTTGTTTAGTTCAGTGTAAGATCGGAATATATTTCACCAAGTGAGCACCAAAAGGTATATTTCACCAAGTGAGCACCAAAAGGTATATTTCACGAGTGGGCAACCACGAGTGAAATATGAACTTTTGGTGTTCACAAGGTGAAATATATTTCGATCTTACACTAAACTAAACAAATTTTCTTTTTATTATATGCAAAGAAACGTTTTAAAAAGACATTAAACCTAATACTGAATAAAAAGCGCGCCAAATAATAATACAACGTGACGTCATTTACGACGTCACATCATTAAGTTGGTACCCAGTTCTGTGCACGCTGGTATTTCACTGAAACAACGTAAGGGGCTTAAATTCAAAACAGTGAAATTATCAAAGTGGTAATTTCACTGTTTCAAACAGTGAAATTACCAATTTTATGTCACTGATATATTTCTATAAACCACCGAAAAGCATGTAATAAATTCTTGTAAATTGTATACCATGATGTTGTTAGACCAAGGCTGCTTTAAGTATTATCTATTCCATTACATTGTTAACCCCTAGGGAAATTCAAGTAAAGTCTATTCCATGACATTATATATGTCCAGATAAATCAAGTAGTTTTATTTCATTGCATAAATGACACCAAGGTAAAATTTGGTCATTTCTTGTGTAAAACCTACCATTGTATATAAATTATAAGAATGAACTTTTTTTATTTGTCCATTGCTTATCTTCAAAATACTAAATTAAGTGTCTATATAGATTCTAGTGTAAATGTACATATACAGGCTAACTTTGCATAGGGATGTTCTTGTTACAGCTAGCATTGTACAGGTTAATCATAGCAAGATATATCAGAAATATGCAAGATATGCTTGATGATATTGATAACAATGTTTCCAGCTTAAAACTAGTCAATGTTTTAAAAACATTGAATTTATAAGAATAAGCGAAAAGAAAACAATAGTTAAACAACTTCAAATGATATACATGTAGTTAATATTAGAGATTGCCTATATTGATATTTTAATGTTCTAATTTTAATGTTATACAGTGATACATGTAGTGCAATGGCCTATCTAGAAGATAGAAAATTGGTTCACCGAGATTTAGCAGCAAGAAATGTCCTTGTCAATGACGAAGGTACTGCCAAGGTATGTCACTACTAATTTACACTCCTCTCCTCTTTACAGTTATTGAATCCAAAAAGTATACATATTTTTGATATCATGAGAAAGGGCGTCAGTGGCCAAATGGTTAAGGCTGTTGACTTCAAGCATCTTCAGGTTCCTTCATGTAAGAAAACTATCCAGCTAGCTTACAGAACGCTGATGGTTCTACTCAGGTGCCTATTTGTGCCTGAAATAATGAACAAAGGAGCACTTGAGGTCTTCCTCTAGCAGTAAAGCTTGTAAAACCACCCTATGACTTGTACTGTGTTGGTGAGATATAAAACCCAACCAAAAAACGATTGTGATAATATTGTACTTATTTAATTCTACAATGTTGATTACAAGGCTAACAAACAATCAATGGCATTTAAGTACTGTTAGGCTACAACACGCATATTGTGAAATGAAATACTTAAACTAAAGACTTCCAGATAGATAATGAACATTGTTATTCTGTTTTAGTAATTGAACATTTAGACTGACAGTTCTGTAATTTTCATTGACTCCCTGTAACTTGAATAAACACAAAGAATAATTTATACAATGATATTTTACAGGTGTCAGATTTTGGATTAGCCAATAGAATAGATTATAACCCAGCCCAAGTTGGAGGCAAGTTCCCAATTAAATGGACTGCACCAGAAGCACTCAGGGACAATGTAAGTGTTACCTTTATCAGGGACTGCGTTCAGGGCAAAGTCAGGCGAAAACTTCGCCGTAAATATTTTCACTTCACCCTATATGATCTGAAAAGCGAAATTCTAGTTGCCCTAAAATCTCTATGAAAGGTCTGACATGTATATTACACCACTGGATAAAACTGCCTGGAGGCAGATTTAATTGTGTAATATGACGTATCAATTAGCACACGCACTGAAGCGTGGCCATAGCCACAATTGGAATTCACACTTGGAAATCCACATCGCTAAAAATAGCGCATTGATTATACATAAAGTTTTCGATAAATTAAAGCTGTGAAATACCCTGATATGAATGCGGCAGATGATAAAAAGCTAGCTAATTGATAATTAAGTTACCTCAAACGTATATATTTGTGTCTTATTTACAATATCCTCTTTACATCCTATTTGATTTACAATGTTCCCTAAATGTTCTGTTTGATTTACAATTTCCCCTATATGCTTGTTTGATTTACAATATTCCCTAAACATTCTGTTTGATTTACAATTTCCGCTATATGTCTTGTTTGATTTATAACAAAAATATTCATCATTAAAATTGATGTAAATTGATAGAATTTGGATAATTATTATGAATTAAGAGAACTTTTCTTCTTAATTATTGCATTTAAAAGTTAAGAGTCAGAAACTGTTGAATGGTTGAACTTTGAAAAAAAATGTTGTGTTGATGTGAATCAACTGCTTAAATAAACTTTATTGAGCAACTAGTACTTCATTAAAAATCATCATATGTAGCGATTTTCAAATACACATTTGTTTATTTTCCGTGCCATATACATGTATATTTTATATGCATGTACATATAAAGGTGTACATGTCTATTTTGTGAAATAAAATTAGAAAATAATCCAATGATATAACTCGATTTGATGATCACTTTCTCCCTAAATTTCAAAACTTCTCCCTATATTCCCTGAAGGCCCTAAATTTTCAGTCCAAGGCAGTCCCTGCTTTATACATAATTTATACAGAAGGTCATATAGTTTCTACAGCTTTCTTCCAAATGTGTTGGATACATGCTGATACATTCATTTTCTTAGTGTTTAATACTATTGCACATTATTTTGTTAAACTGCAATATGTTTCTCTAACCACCAGAGTTGAAAAAAAACAAAACAAAAACTACCTTTAAAGCCTTTTTTGCATGAAGCAGTGCATGGATCATCAACACACATCCTAAGACAAGTAGACAAGTTTGTGAAAAAAGAACACATTTAATTCTCATGTGTGAATGAATAGATGATCATTAGCATTTTCTCTTTAGTAGCTTTTATATGGTTTCTCTATCAAGTTAAGATTGAAGGGATGAATTTGTCGTTAGTTACCATACAATACCTCCTGATATAAATGTAGAAAACCATTGAACAGAATATCCAGTGAATCAATGTTGCAATCATTCTGGTTGGCAAGTCAGGATTATAATGTCTCTCTTGTAATAGTTTTATAAAAATATCTTGTATGTGGTTTCAGTGTTTTACCAGCAAATCTGACATGTGGAGTTTTGGCATTCTTCTGTGGGAAATTTACTCATTTGGCCGTGTCCCGTATCCTAGAATTGTAAGTTAAAATTTGCTTTACAATTTACTTACTGTCATTTTGTCAATAAAATTCATGGGTATACATTGTACTCTACTCATGCCTGAAATAATACAAGAAGCAGCTCTCTGACATAATGCAAGATAGTAGGCATCTGATAATGCAAGAACTGGCAAATGAAATATTGCAAAGACTGGTGCCTGAAATAATGCAAGAATGAGCAACTAACATTAATGCAAGAACCAGTGCCTGAAATAACGGAACATTTAACTACTGAAATAATGCAAAAACAGGTGACTGAAATAATGCAAGAACGGTCACCTTAAATAATGCAAGAAGTAGCTTTTAAATAATGCAAATACCTGTGTCTGAACTAATGCAACAACAAGCAGCTGAAATGAAATGCAAGAACCTAAACCTGAAATAATGCAAGAAGGTCTATAAGACCACAGATTTGTTGATATTACTTAAAATCCCGCACTTTTAAAGAAGATAATGCATCCGCTTCAGAGTAGCAGAATGTGTTCTTTCACTATTTTCAAGGCTAGTGAACTATTATCCCTGTGTCTAAATTCATTGAAATAATTACATCAGCTATATACACATTACTGTTCTCATTATTTATGCGAGTTTATGCCTTGTACCAGATATTTAATTATATTATAACTATTTACCATGATTTTACAATTTCAGCCACTAGCCGATGTAGTAATGCATGTTGAACGAGGCTACAGAATGGAGGCCCCTGAGGGATGCCCTCCAGAAATTTATGCCATAATGACCGACGCTTGGAAAGCTGAGGCGGACAAACGACCTGCATTCAAAACAGTGTTACAAAAACTGCACGATTTACAAGCAGTTACTGTATGATATATAAACATTAGTGTCCGTTACAAATTTTTTACGTTACAGTAGAAACAAATTCTAATCTTATATCAATTGGTGAACTTATAGGTGATGAACATATCTTACCTAAATACCAGTATATTGTAAATAAAGTATATCAGATGTCTTTCTTAAATATATAGACTTAAGTTAAGGTCTATTACTTTAATACTTTTCAGAATATTTTTCTACTCGCAAAAAAATCAAGAGTATTGAATGAAGTAAGCAAGTTAGAGCTAATTTGGTAGTATTTTGATTGTCACAAAGATTTTTGTATGTAGGAGGGGCTAAATGGTCACTGTGATAGCTGATTGGTCCAGTACTGTAGGTGCTTTAAACACACAATGTTGGTAGAATTCCTATATATGAGTAGGCTGTATATATCAGATATGAGAAAACTTTGTGATTTAGTTGTGCTAGTGTGTGAAGGTAAAGTAGTGTTCATGCAAAAATTACACCATTTCAACTATCATAAACCCTTACCAACCTAAAAATCTTAAATGGACTTGTTCAGTTTTCAATCTGGACACAACCATTCATCAATTTTAGGAAATATTTTAAAATAAGCACAGACTGAGTAGCAAACAGTGCAGATCATGATCAGACAGCATGGATGCACCTTGTGATCTTGGTCTACACTGGTTGAATGGGTAGAGTCAATCGCCTCTAGCAGCCTAAGAGTTAGGTAAAATAATCTGAAATTCTAAAGAAAAAAATCATGAATTCATTTATTGCCAAAAAGGAAATACAGAACTTGTATTTGTTAATGGCAATCAAAAAATGTTGTTTTATTTATTTTGAGAAGGTTCATAATTTAGTTTTATTTTTAAGAATTTAGAATTTCGATATAATGAAACATTTTATTTTATTCAAAAAAAAAAAAGAGAAATAAAATTTCAGTCATAAATGTAGTGTTAGTGTTCTGTTATGATTTAAAATTTGTATCAGACAGGTGGCCTCTCTGTTTAGCTATTTTACTTTTTGTTAAATTTTGAAATATTACAAGTAGTGTTCATATTAAAGTGTTTTTTTTGACAAACTAGAGTGTGTAGAGTCATTGCAATTGTTTCAAATCTAATATAAGCTTGAGGTAATTATTTCACTGTCATGAGAAGCATCAGTGTACATGTGACTGTTAGGAATGATGTTTTGTTAGTAGTTTAATATATGGGATATCAGAAATGTTAGATTACCTGTATTATAGGTTTATACTCCTCCCAAATTGTTTGTTTGATTGAGCATATCATAGTTGCTGGTGTGTTCTTCCTTCCTTCACATGATTCTCATAGCATGTTAATTTATTTTCTGAAACCTTAGAGTCTAAGTGTTCTTGGTACCTGTGTGGTCAACTACAATGTAACTTTGTATAGTGTTTAAGGTCAATTAGGGTAAGGTCACAGTGGCTGAGTTTCTCCTTACCCTATTAACATGCTTTTAGCTTTGTCAAAGCAACATTGGGGAGTATCCACCAAACAAGTGTTAAGAATATTCTTATTGTATTTGTGGCCAGTTAATATGCTTGATTCTGTGTTTAATGTAGACAGAAAGTCGCCTTAATGTTTTTGTCTAAAATGCGTATAATTTAAACCCTTCATTCTTCAAACTAAGTGTATAATGTGATTATGTATGACATGTGTTAACACAGTCATCGAATTTAGTACTGGCCCAGTGACCCATGGCCAGTGAAAAATAGTTCCGGCTAGTGAAATTTTTAAGAAAATTTAGTAAAATATATAATAGAATAAATTTAAAACTGGAATTCGGGCTAGTAAATTCAAAATCTTAAATTCATTGACTGGTTAACAGTTTATAGCTCTGTAATGATAGTGTTCACAATATAAATATTGTATCTGATGAGCCATGTATGACTGGTATATATCTGTACATATTGCACTGATGGCTTTAATGACAGGTCATGTGACGGACAGGTACCAGTATATATCAGTACATATCGCACTGGTGGCTTTAATGACAGGTCATGTGACATCTCTTTAACCAAAATTTCAGTATAGTGTAACCAGACACTATACTATTGGATATTCTCTTTAAATAATTTAATATAATTGAAATCTCTTAATTTGACTAAAAGAATTCCAAATTTTCTTAATAATAAACTTTATCATACTAAATTTGTGAAAATTTGTATAAAGCTGTTGCACAACATAAGCAGAGTGAAGGTTTATCAAGTGATATAAAATATTTTATAATGTGAATAAAATAATCAGATTTATTTGCAAAAAGATGTCAGTTTAACTGTATGTAATAATGAAAAACTATTTCAGCAAATGTGTCATTTTTTTCTCTCTTTTTTTGTAAGACTGTATTTTTGTACATTTATTTTTCAATGAATTTATCATCTTTTTTTACAGATGTCTTTTTTAGTCTAGTTATTTATGTGTAAGATAAATATGTAAGACCCATTTTGTTGGGATTTTATTCATATATATTTATGGAACTTGATATTTGATAGTTTGATGATGATATTGTCTTTTGGAATTTTTCCCTTCACATTGAATACAGTAATTGATAGTGTTTGCCAAGCTAAGCTATCAGATGTTATGTTTTTCATGTAAACAAAGAAGCAAATGTTTACAGAAGAGAATGATTTTAATATTTCAAGAAATTATAGTTAAAGCACATGTATATTTGTATTAAGTTATCCTCCTTTTTGTTGTTGTTGTTTAACTTAACGATGTTAATGTTGAACTTAAAAGACATACATTTTTGTTGACTTTAAACTAAGCATGTAATATTGAACAAACTTTATACACTGTGTTAGTGGTTGAAGAAAAACGCTCAATTTCTCACACTTAAACTTTGGGCATTTGTCTGACCATCTGTCTTTTTTATTTCAAGATTTAGTTTTTTTTGTAAGTAAAATTTAATTTAAAAATTCTTCACCTCAGCAGGGAATTAAATTTTAATTTCTTATTTTAAGTTGAGGAAAGCTTCACTTCCAGTACAATAATGTTTTTCTTAAGACAATCCCCCACCTACACTATTTTATACTTGTTCAAATATTCCATTTAATTTGCAGTAATGTGACTAGAAGTTTCCCCCCTGAATGATATGACAGTGCTTATAACTAGTATTACAACATTGTATAATGATGTTTACCTTTGTTTGTTTATTGTTAAGTTTACGATCAAAATATGCCTTTTTATAACAACCAAATATGAGAAATGTTTTAGGGGTTCAGGAGTATAACCCAATAACACTTGTTATTGTTGTTGAGCAGATTTCTATTTGACTATTAATGTTGTCAAAGTGATTTTTTTTAGCTTTTTAGAGAAGACAGATATATTTTGTGTTGTTAGTATTTTACCTCTCCTATCTAGTTAGCATAAATGTTCTGTTACCTAGGTTACCTGAATGATAAATCTATACTATACTATTGGGTAAATAAGTTTGGTGCTTCTATGTAGAAATCTTTGATGTCTTTTTGAGATGTTCATTTGTGAATATTCTAGAGTTTGTAGACATTAATGTGAATACATCATATTATAGGGATGACTTTTGATCTTTTATCCATTAAGAATTTATTATGCTAAGATTTTTTATCTGACAAAACCATCTACTTATTTCATTATTATTATTATAATATTAGTGAAAGACATTTTGCTGATAAAATGAGTTAAGTAATATTATGTTATGAAGTGTATACCTAGAAAACAAGTAAATCAGTATGATAACACTGTTATCACTTTGAGTGTTGTATTTTTTTTATCTCAATTTTAGTGTTTTCACATTGAGATCCGAACCAATTACATTTGTAACATGATTGCAACATGAAAATGGTCATTTCTAGTTGTTGTTTTTTTATCCAATTTAGCCCTGACTTTTCTATTCATTGCTAAGTCAACTGCTCATAAACAGTATTACAAACAAAACCATGTGTTACTTTGTGTAAACCAGCAGGTTAACCAGTGACTTATGTATTATCTCAGTGTAGGAATTAGATATCCATCCAGTTTGCATAAATCTGTCAACACTCAGTTAAATTTTGTTTTAGACAAAGCTTTACTTTGATATTTTGGTAAAAAACTTCTGTTTTCATTGTTTCTCTGTTATTTCGGTATAAATAAATTGTACTGTTTTAGTTTGAGGAAAGATATCACCAATGTATTTTGGCTACAGGAATGATACAGTGTTGATTTGCTGAATAAATTGAAGTTATAAATGTATGCTAATTGTTATACTGTATAAGGCATTTGATCTACATAGATGACAGATTCTTATATACTGATATAAATGGCACATAGAGATATTCCTCAACCAGTATTGTTGCCACCTAACCTTAATACTGTCATTGTTCTGATCATCCAATCAAACTGTTCAAAAATAAGGATTTATTGTTTTGATTGGTGAAAAAAAAGATGATAAAATCCAGACCTATTTATATGGAAGGTTTTGGAACTGGAACAAAGTGATGCATTTATTTATGTTATTATGTTATATATATATTATATACTATTTTATGTATCATTCTTATAGTGTAAATAAGCAACACATAGGCATATAGTAAAATGCCAATTCATAAATACTGTTTTGTTGGAGTTTTGTTTTTCCAAGAGATTTCTTTGTTTTTGTATTTGGTTATAATGTAGTATATCTTTATGTTTCTTTTTTTTCTCTGAGATACATGTTGATATGTTGAAACTATTGATATACAATGCATGTCTCTTTTGTAGAGAAAATGTGTTTCAGATATTTTTCTCAGTGTCTCGTAGAAGGCCTTAATTTGATTCCTGTTTTTATTTGAGGTGCTGCCCATTCCAGAAATAATATACTGTACAGGGATCATCTACATACAATTCTATCATACTGGAAAATATTATTAAAGAATATAAGGCTTTATATCTGGCATAATATTTATGATATATGAAAAAATATTTTTGTTAAATCATACACATGATCACTTTGAAGAAACAGAGTAATATGTTGTCAAATTTCCAAATTCCACCAAAGTAAGCAATGCTTTCACACATTCATTGCTTGCTTTCAGAAATATCAATTAAGTTGTTTGCTTTGATTCCTATGATGATTCGAACAGTATGTCTGGTGATATAGTAGACATTTTTGCCCAATAAAGCTTTATACTCTTTAATTGTAAATATTAAAGATAAAACATTTACATTATTTGAAGCTGACATAGTGAAATGTATCTCTGCTTGAATACAAATGCTTGCTTTGATTACACAATTAATTAGTGATTAATTTCTTTTATGACAAATTTGTAGAAACTTTTATCATAACCAAAAATAATATTTATGACTAGGTTTGATAGAAAAAACATACTGATTCAACATACTAATTTTGATTTACATTAACTGTAATGCATGTTGAAATAGTTCATGAAAAATTTACATGAATTAAAACTGACAGCTGTCTTGTGCATAATGTTTCATTTAGTTTATAGTTAATTTTTACAGATTCATAAGTGTGGCATCATACATGTGCTGTTTATATGTGAAGTATATAGAGATTGTACAGAATGTTAATTAACACTTGCCCTGTCTAAAACTTCTGCCACCAGTATAGAGCCAGCCCAGCCTGCACATATTGTACAGTTTGACCAGGCTTTATACTGGTGATAGCTAATTTTCTGTGTTATTTTGATAGCATACCTTAAACTTTGAATAGACTGTTCCAAATTGAAGACAGGGCACAAAACACTAATTCTGCAGGTTAAGTCCTATATCATGTGCAGCTTGATATAGATATATATGTATGTCTTTGTTAAAGAGACAAGAAGACAATTAATATGTCCATCCCTTATATACTTTTCTACCCGCTATAATCATTTATCTGTCATTGATATGTAAAGCATATATAGAGATTTGGTAGTACTTGTATGTATGTTTTCTTGTATAGTTGATTAATTGATCATACATGTTCTGTTTTCTTAATTACATTGATACAACTGTACCATTATAAACAATAAATTGAATAGATATAATCTAATGTTGTTGTTGTTTCTTTGCCAATATTGCCACTTACTGATATGGTAATGTAACGATTCACCACAATAATGATTTGCCACATAACAATACGCCAGAGTCATAACGATTCACCACAGTTAAATAAAGGTTCGCCACAGGTGTTAAAATACAATTTTTCAAACACGTTTTCAATCTGTTAATGGAATCCTTTAAGTTTTTCCTTTTAAATTTATTCGTTAATTATATAAATCAATTATCAAGTGGAAAAGTATAATAAAAATTGACTTTTTATTGATTAAAAACACATGAAAACAAACGGATTTTATTTCCAAAATACATAATACATTGTAAATTAGTTAACAATGACAGAGCCAATGTTAAACATAAGTGTATGTTTAATTTAAGATTTCTTTTATTTAAACATAATATACTTCTGTAATTATGTTACTCTTTGATAAATTGAAAATCTGATAGTATTTTAAGTTGGATGTCTTGTCCTTGACAAATTAATTAAAAAAAAAAAATTGCATTTATTGAGTTAATTTAACAAAGACCATTCACACTAAGACGTCTGTGGCCGAGTGGTTAAGGTTGTTGACTTCAAACCACTTGCTCCTCACCTCTGTGGGCTTGAATCTCAACAGGGACTTTGGATTCTTTCATGTGAGGAAGCTTTCCAGCTAACTTACGGAACGTCGGTGGTTCTACTCAGGTGCCCCTTCGTGCCTGAAATAATGCAGGGAAGGGCACCTGAGGTTTTCCTCCACCAGTAAAGCTGGAATGTCGTGATATGACCTATACTGTGCGATGTGACGTAAAACCCCAAAACGAACAAACAATTATTGTTATGATCATACTGTGGCTTATCATTATTTAACTATTACAAATCGTTATTTAATTGGAGTTAATATTTATGAGGTGTATTGAATCGTTATTTGGTGAATCGAATTGTTACAAATTCACTGAAACAACATGGGTTATGGCCTGAAGATTCATTTTACAGCCAACTTAAAAGCCTTGATATTTTGGCATTACCTTGAAATCAGTAAATCATTATTGTAGGGTATACGTTTATATTCTGACTGTAGCCGAGTAGTCAAGCCTTACCTGAGTGGTATAATGTATTTGTATATATCTTTCATTTGATGTGTATTTGTTTAACATACTCATAACAAAATTTATGTCCTATTTTTTAAAGATAATTCTCTTTTTTATAAAATCTACTACTCATAGTAATGTGTTTGAAAAACACCTGTTTTGATTTGGTATCTT